AGAAGTACACACTTACTTTGGTAATATTCCCTATAAAAAGTTAGTTTGAAAACAGTGGATTGCTTCAGAATACTTTCGGCTTCGATGCAGCCTTTTCCTTCACTCATACTTCACTGCGGTCCATCTCATTGTTTTCAGGCTTCTTGCGAGGTGAGGGCGACGAGGTGGTAAGAGATCACCTACGAGGATAACAGGCCGTGCTTATGGAAAAGAAACACATGCAGAGTCTGGGTCGCTCGCAGGCCTCGCAGCGATTAGAGGAGGAGAGATCCCCACAAAGGATTCAGAGAGCCGGGGCTCAGGTCTTCCCTGTCTCAGAATCCCAGGTCTGCTCCTCTGGCTTGGCTTCGACCCTGCATGTTCTGTCTTTACATAAAATTAGTGGTTTCGGCCGCATAAAAGAGTAAGTTTTAAAACATCGCCCAATGTAGTATAGAGCGGAAACCCTGCCCTCGCGAAGACGGGGCGCAGGGCGTGCTGTCCTGGCCAGCTCTCCCTTCCCGTGTGCATCTGCAGGTTCAAATAGCGTGTAAGTGTTTCGGAATGCGTCTGTCTCATCAGAAGTGTTTGCCACCAAGTGTAGACGCCCTGTGTCATCCTGTCCTCTGTCCCCTGCACACCTGCTTCTGCAGCCACACAGGGCCAGGGTTTGGAGAGGTGCCGGCACTGCCCACAGGCCTCATGAGTACTAGTGTCCTCCTTGAGGCAGCACCGTGTCAGGTACTCCTAAGTGACTCCTTTTGAAATGAGGGGTTCATTTCTTTCAAAAAATGGCAAAAAATGACCCTAGTCACATGTCATAAAATTTCAGATGTTGCTTGTAACGGGGAGGAGACGGGAGTTTTTCCTTTCCTTTTACCAGCAGCTGCTTCGGTGCCCTCTCTGCTGTTGGGCGAAGTTGTAAGTCTCTGATGCACAGAAGTAGAAGTGGGAACGGCGGGGGAAGGGGGAGTGCCCAGGGCGGGGGGGTCCCCGCTGTTCTGTGCTGCACCAGGAAGGCAAGTGGTGACTCTCCCATTTCTCAGAGCATTGCAGAATACATAATCTGTAATTTTCATTTGTGTGGGAAAAAAAATAAAGTACGTGAGATAAAAATACTTCTGAATGATCAAGTAAGTCTGAGTACTGTATGATCCAAGATTTTGAATTATTAGGTCTGGGTTGAGGCTCAGGCTTCAGCCTTTTAAAACTTGTTTTTGTTGTGGGGAGGCTGTAGCTCTGGTCCAGTGTGTGCTTGGATCCAAGCACGAGGTCCTGGGTTCAATCTCCAGCACCCCCATTAAAAAAATAACTTGTTACTGTTGATATGTAATAGTACACACAGAAAAGGACACATTGCTTAATTATACAGCTTAGTGAATTTGTACAAACTGAATATACCTCCACAGTGATCACCCAGACAAGAAAGCAGCATAATTGATTTTGCTTTTTCCATTGAGAGAAATTACCCAAAGTGATAATTATTTTGTCCCTCCAGTGCTGTCCACATGCACACAGAGTGAATGCATGCTCAGGACTCTCTGAAGTTTTGTTTTCATCCCAACTTAAAAGAAAGAGAATTTTGGACAAATGAATGCTTGCCTTTCCTGGTTCTAAGACTTAAGCTGTGGTGTGGAGCCAAGAAAGGTATATAATGTCTTTGTGCATTACTTGCCTCATCTGTAAAATGGGGATGATAAACATTCCTACTACTAAAGCTACTGTGAGGAGTAAATGGAACAACTTATGAAAGCCTCAGAACAGTCCTGAGCTTTTAATAAATATCATTTGTTACGTCAGCATGTATGGAAACATCGACGGTGCAGGTAGAGTCGATGCTGACCCAGGCTACCCTCCGTGTCTTACCTGTTGTGACTTGCGCGTTTCAGAACTGGGGTCAGCACACTTCCTGTGAGGGGCCAGAGAATGAGTCTTTGATGCTTTGTGTGGGTCACGTGGCCTGCAGCGCCCCACTTTGCCGTCACTGTGCTTCGTACTGCTGATCGTGGCTGCATCTTGTGAGACGTTTGTGGACACTGGGAGTTGAATTTTATATCATTTTCATGTTTATTCTTTTGATTTCTTTTTTCCCCAACCTTTAAAAAGGAGTGATTCTTTTACAGTCTTAACTTACAAGCTGTAAAAAAAAGATAGACATTCGGGCTGGACTCGGCCCACAGGCCATAGTTTGCTTGCACCTGTTTTTAGAAAATTAAATAGGTTACTTACTATGTCTAATTCCATGAGCTCAGTCACCGTCCTACTCAAGATTATATGAAATTTCCATCTCCCCAAAAAGAGCCCTTTGCCCTAAATCTAACCCCCCAAAAATCCCCCTGCACCCTATGTAACCACTGATCTGATTTTTATCGATTTATCAGATGTGGATTGTTTTGCCTTACTCTGAATTTCGTATGGAGGGGTCATGCAGAATGTACTCTGTGTGTGTGTGGTACCCACTGACACTGCTGGTTGTGTCGTTAGTCTGTTCCTTTGGAGGAGAGGGGTTCTAAGTTGCATCCCAGTGTGAAAACGTATCGGTTTATGTGTCACTAATTGGCGGGCTTGTGTGTTGCCTCCAGTTTGCGGCTGTTAGGAATAAAGCAGCTGTGAACATTTGCACAAATGGTTTTGTGGACATTTTTTCACTTCTCTTGGGAATTGTTGGGTCATATGGTGAGAGTGTGTTTAATGTTAAGAAACTTGTTTTCTAAGCAGTTGCCACCTTTATCCTCCTGCCGGCAACATATGAACAGTCTGGTTGCTCCGTGTCTTTGCCAACTTTCGTTGTTTTTAATTTTACCCAGTTTTTACTTTCGCTGGTCCTCTTGTGTGTAACACGGTAACTCAGTGTGGCTTTCATTTGCATTTCCCTGGTGACTGGATCTAGATCTAGACATGGATGTAGATACAGATGCAGATAAATAAAAATAATGGGCCGTGGCTGTTTCCTCCTCATGTGCAGCCTGCCTTTCCCCTTGTTTGACACTGAATTGCAAAGAATGGCAAGTTTTAATTTTGTTGAAGACCAGTTTATCAGTTGTTTTAGTTTGTGTCCTCATTTTGTTTCCTGAGAAATCAGGACATATGTCAATGTCGAGGAGTTGTTTTTTTGATGTTTTTCTCTTAGTTTTGGAGCTGTAGCTTTTTGCAGTTGTCATCGTGATGCATTTTAAGTTAGTGTGTGTGGTGTGAAGTGGAAGGTCGGTGTCCACTTGTTCATTAGAGATTCCACGTATGTCCAGCGTGTCCCTTTGATCTGTTGATCTTACATTTACACAAGTGTCAGGTTGTCTTGACTTTGGAGAGTTCTCCAGACTTTTAGTTTAGTTTAGTTTTTAAAATATTTTTACTCTTTTATGTTCTTTGCATACAAATTTAAAAATCAGCTCGTGGGTCCCCTCCCAGCCCCGCAAGAGCCTGCTGGAGAACATGGACATTCTGAGAGGTGCTGGATTTCTCAGTCCCTGGCCTGATACTTATTTCTCTGTTTGTTTACCTTTAATTGCAGTGACATTTTGTAGTTTCAGTGCAAAGATGTTGGACATCTTTCCATTTGTTCTAAGTATTTTATATTTTTCAGCTACTGGTTGCCAGTATGTGTAAAATACAGTTGATATTTTCATTGACCATGGTACTGCAGTCTTTCTGAATTGGTCTCTTAGTCTTTGTGGTCTTGTAGATGACTGAGGGCTTTTTGCAGTCTGCAGCTGGATACAGTTCTGCTTCTCTCACTCCCTTCTGCACCCCAGATGCTCGGCGCGCGCTGGCCCAGCCCGAGTGTGGTGTTCCTGTGCTGGGGAGAGTATTCAGCCTTCTACCTTGGAGTATGATGAAGAGTTGGCCCTTTTCTCTGTCATGGAACTCAGCTTGCCGATGCGTGGTTGAGGATTTCTCCACATACGTTTGTGAGGAATATTGGTCTGTTATTTTATTTTCTTACAAATCTGTGTCAGTTTTTGGCACTAGGGTTGAGAAATGTTCCCTCCTCCGGTTGCTGAGTTTGTGTGATTTCTTTCAGATGTTTCCTTGATATGTGAAACAATTCACCACTGACAGCCTTTGGGTTTGTCGTTTTCTTTATGCAGGTTTCGTTCTTACTGTTACTGGCTCAGGCTCTAATTGAGACTGTTTGGGGGCTTGTTTCTCAGGTGGCGATTCCACTTTCATTCCTGTTGTCGTTTGTTCTCTCTATTTCCACAGGTTTATCAACATTTCAGATGTTTACTAAGGAACCAGTTTTTGGCTTTGCCTGCTGTTAACCTGTTTTCTTTCTCTTGTTGTATTGATTTCTTCTTTTTACTTTCTTCTGTTTACTTTGGCTTTAGCCTGCTAAGTGACACACAGCCCTGGTTGTGAGCCTTTTTTATTTTCAACACAGGCATTTGAAAGCTATAAATTTGCTCCTCAGCTGTGTTTGCTTGCACCCCACAGATTTTCATGGGCTGTGGTTTCATTATCATTCAAAACGTGTTCTAATTCATGTTGTTACTTCTTCTGTGATCCGTGGGTTGTCAAAATGTGTTCCTTAACTTCTGGTTATGGTAGTGATTTGGGTGTAATTCCATATGCTCAGACTAGTGCACTCTGAGATTTCAGTCTGTTGAAGCTTGGTGAGCCTGCTTTATGTCCAGGTGAGCATCTCACATGCACTTGGTGAAGATATGTGTCCTGCAGTGTTTGCTGTAGCCTTGTGTAAATGTCAGTCAGGTTGGAGGTGTTTTTGAGATCTTGTCCTAACTGAGTCTTTTCTTTTTTAACTAATTTATTTTTTGCAGGGAGGAGGCGATTTTTAAAATTTACTTATTTATTTGTTATTCATTCATTCGTTCGTTCGTTCGGTGGAGGCACTGGGGGCGGAACCTAGGACCTCTTGCCTAAGCACATGCTCTACCTCTGAGCTCCACCCCCACCACACACCCGTCCTCACTGATCTTTTGTCTAGTCTGTGTATTAATTAATGAGAAAGATGTTTAAAAATCTCTCGCTACGCCTGGGAACTTGTGTGTTTCTCCCTTTAGTTCTGCAAGCTTCTGTTCAGTGAGTTTCATTCTCGGGCCAGAACGTAGCCCTTTGCTATGTATCCTGGTGAGCTGCCTTTCTGTCTTCAGACCACAGTGACGGGTCTTAAGAGAGCCAGTCGGCTTTGTCACGCTCATCGTCGGTATGTCATTTTCTGTCTTTTTCTGTTTGTATTTTCCTATTTGAAGTGTATGCTGTAGACGATGTCCTGCAGTTGAGTCTTGCGTTTTCTCACGCAGTCTGACCGTTTCTGCTCTGAGTTGGGTGTTTCGTCCACTTACATTTAGCGCGGTTACTGACAGGGTTGGTTTTCCACTTGGCCCCCGTTTTTTCTTCTCAGGTGTCCAGTTCATTGGTTTCTCGTGTATTCACAGGATTGTGTAGTGTAGTCTTCGCCACTGTTTGACTCCAGGACATTTTCATCACCCCCAAGAGACAGCGCACACGCCCTCCCGTCACTGCTCACCCTCATCGGCGTCCGCTTCCTGTGTCTGCTCTTGACTGTCCTGGGCGCCTCCAGAGGTGGGTGCGTGTGGATGGGAGGCCGGCTGCACTCACTCAGCGTGGTGTTTTCAGAGTTCACCCGCGTTGTAGCGTGAGTCAAGGATGCGCTCCTTTTTATGGCTGAGAAGTATTCTGTTGCACAGATGTGTGCTTTACTTACCTCTTCATTAGCTGGTGCTGTTGGACCTTTTTGGCTGTTAGGAATCACGTTGCTGAGTGTGAGTGCTGTGTACTTGTTTTCACATGGATGTGTTTTTCACTTCTCTCGGGTACATACCTCGGTGTAGATTACTTTGGCCATACAGTTCTCCTGTTTAACCTTAGAGCAACTTGCCAAACTTTTCCAAAGCAGCTTACGCCATTTTACATTCCCGCTGGCAGTAAACAAGGGCTCCAGTTTCTCCACATCCTCGTTAACAAGTGGTCAGCACGTGTTACTACCTGTGCTTTTAATTTTAGCCATCCTGCTGGGTGTGAAGTGGTATCTGGTTGTGGTTTTGATTCGCAGTTTCCACATGACTAATGAGCATCTTTTCATGTGTTTCCTTCTTAGGTTTGTTTGTCTCTTTGTCCTTCAGTGCCTCCTTTTAGGTTATTTTTACTGTGTTCCACTTAATTTCTTCTATAGGTTTGTCGTGTGTGTGTATGCGCATTCATAGTTCTAGGGTGGGCGATGTGTGCCTCCTTAAATTATCAGGAGCTTTCCGAATTCTTACTGTACCTTTCACACCTGAAACCTGACACTGCGGACTTCCTGATTCATACAGTTGGTATTTAGGGTCCCATCTGGCTTCCATTTAAAAAATCCTTTATCTTTTCAAAGATTATTATGGCATTGATTTCCAGATTACTTTTTCATACGTTTCTTTGTTACCCAACATAAACAGTCGTATATACAAGTGAAAGTCTGTATTAGACACTTTCCCTACTAAAAGGTATATTTTGTGTCTTTGTCATTTTTCTATCTTTTGAGATTGTCATGAGCCTTCACTTAACCCTGGCCATCGTGTTGACTGTAGGACATGTGGACGTGGCAGCCATTGCATAGCCCTGCAGAAGAGGCATTATTTGAGTTACTTTGGCCTGTTTATGATCTTTAAGAGCAAGCACTTGACCCAGTGTTCTCATAGAGCCTTTCACTTGTTGCTTCACCTGGAACCAGAATCTTTATTTCAGCTCAGGGCTCTTGTTAAGTGTGTGTTTCATCCACTTCACACGTCGCAGTGGCTGGTGGGAGTGCAGGCTTCTCCCGCTGGTCTCCTTGGGCCCTTGTGGTGCCATGTTGTCCCTGCTCCCTGCGCATGGACGACAGGTGCTCTTTCCTGTCTCAGGGCTCACGCAGGAGCCTTCCTTTCACCTGTGGTCTCCTGAAACAGGTCGCAGACAGTCCGTTTCCCTGCATGTCAGGAGCGCTTCCATCTCTGCTGCCTGGGGCTCTGCGCGTCGTGCCCATCCCTGTGGACAGGGTCTCCCCAGTAGAAGCTCGTTCTGCCCAAAGCAAACCAAGAAGTTCTCTGCTGAGTTTCTCAGAAACACTAACTCTGGGAGTGATCGGCCACTATCTCTCGGGCAAACCATTTTCAGGAAAGGAGGGGTAATTAGGACCATTTGGAACTTTTTTCAGACGAGAATGAATACAGACCCGGTTGTACTCGGAACCTCCGGTTCGTTTGATCCTTATGTTACTATCCTGTTGTGAGGATTATTAGAACTTCGGGAAGATGAGAGGTTCGCACTGAGCCGAGTGGATCAGTGAGGCGGGGACTGTCCGAGGCGATCTGAGACGTTCGGGAGGGTAGATCAGTTTGCAGCAGCTGGGGCTGGGGCTGGGGCTCTTCGTCCTGCCAGCAGCACAGAACCGTGTGCTCGTTTTTCTCGGAGAGTCTATGGTCCTAATTGCGTTCTGAAAGAGTTCACGCCCTGTAGAAGGTCAAGAACCACCGAGGGGAAAGCATTGGCTCATTCTGGCGTACTGTGTCTTTTCTGTTTCAGGTATTCTTGGTCACATTGCCTTCAGATTTCTAACCTTTAAAAGAAAGGTTTATACGAGATTTATCTATATACAAGGAAAGTAGTGACCTTGAATTGTATGCCCTCTGAACTCTCTTGGTAAGGTGCTGTGGAAATGACGAGAGAAACTTTAGGCAAAAGTGATGTCACAGGGCTGCTGGAGGGGCATCCCAGATGTGTGGTTCTTGAGGTGGGGGGGTGGTCCTGCCCAGGCAGCACCTGTGGGCGGGGCGGGGGCTTCCACTGCCTCCTGGAGGATCTGCATGAGGTGACCTAGTTTTACTGCAGGAAGAACACGCCTTGTTGCTTAGGGCTAGGCGTGTATTAGCAGCCCTGAAAGCATGTGGCAGACAGAGGGACTTACTACCAAAGAGAGGCTGTCCTGTCTGTGCTCCTCGCTGCTGCTTTATTGTCAACGCTGCCCGCCCCTCTCTGCCCCCCACCCCCACCCCGTGAACTGCTCTTTGTGCGAAGGCAGAGGAGACCCACCCTGCCCTGGGCTGAGCAGGTGCTCACAAGCAGGGCTGGCTCTGAAGCCCTGGGATGTGCCCTCAGGTCCCGTGTGAGAGCAGAGGTGTTTGCAGGTATGAGCGGCGGACCACGATCACAGTTTCCCACTTGAGTATCAAGAGTAAGGGAGTCAAGTTTCTTCTCTCTTTGAAAAAGCAAAATGTTTAATCTCTTATTTGCCCAAGGCCCTTTGATTTTTTTCCATAAATATTTCTCCTGACTTTTTCTGTGAGTATAAGTACCATAGACTATAAATCAACATGGTACATGCCTCTTTTTAAATTATATTGACATGTAACTCCTTTGGAGTTCTTTGTTTAGTGAGAAAAATATTTTTAAATCAAGACTAGGTGAAATTATATCCAGGTTCTTTTAACAGTTGAGATATAGAATAACCTAACAATTAAATAGCACTTTGTTATATTATATAAAAGGCACATTTAGGTGCTAATCAAAGATTTAAGCTGCCAGACCGTCTTAAATGTTTCCTACAGAAAAGCCACCTCAAGTCTAGAATATAGCATCTTGTAGCACGCCCGGAAGTTCACGGGGAGCAGCACACCTGAGTGTAGCTGCAGGTCTGAGCGGTCCCTTGTGTTCTCGAGCAGGCCTTCCCACCTTTACATCTTAACCCGAGATACCCGTGGGCTTGGCTGGGCGGACCATGGGCTTCTTTCTGTTCGCCACCTGAGTGGTGGACCTGATTTTGAGCTGGATGTCTGTCCCCCCAGCCTCCGTAGTCTCTAACTCACAAGTGAAGCTGAGGTGTGGACTTGGTTCTGTCTTTGCCATTGCTTATTGAAACCTTTACATATTTCACCAGCATGTGCAGTTTGTGGTTTAAAGTAAAACCACCTGTTCTGTGAGACCTTCTTTAATGTTGGTGATCTTTGGGGTCTCACAGCACAAGGCCCAAGGAGGTGGTTGAGCACAAGGCCCTTCCTGAGCCTTTCCGCTCCTGCCGAAGTTGAGGATTGGTCAGCCATCCCGCCAGCACACTCACCCCAGCCCCACACGCCCTCTGTTCCACATTCACACATCTCTGTTTGGGGCCGCTGCGTCAGGCCTCAGACGTTCCACAGCTACCTGGAGGACATCATCAACTACCGCTGGGAGCTGGAGGAGGGGAAGCCCAACCCCCTGCGGGAGGCCAGTTTCCAGGACCTGCCCCTTCGCACCCGCGTGGAGATCCTCCACCGCCTCTGCGACTACCGGCTGGACGCGGACGATGTCTTTGACCTTCTCAAGGTGCGTCCCCGACCCGCACCCCTCCCCGCCTGGAGCACGAGTCAGGGGAAGCCGGCATCAGGGAGGTGAGCTGGTCTCAGCGCTCATCACCGACAGGAGCGGCGTGTGCACAGCCGTGACTGCTGTCACCAGGCGAGTCCAAGCACACGCTCGCTCACGTGACCGTTCGTGACCTTATTTTGGTGAAATTTCTACCTTGATTTGTCTTCCTGGGCTGCTCTTCCTGTCATCGGCCGAAACACAGCCGCGGCCGCCACTGAATTTTATTTCCCAAGGTCTGAGATGTGACTTAGCATAACTGAAGTATTTATTGAAAACTCCTGAGGAGTTTGAGCTGTTCCCACTGGCCACATGCACGCACTTTAGAGGTGTGCTGGGGGAGGCTATGGTGCCACCTGCCCTTGTCCTGCCCTCCCAGTCGGTTTAGAAGTTGGCCTCGGGGCTCAGTCACCTATGACGGTGCCCATGTGCCTTAGTTCGCTCGCTGTGGGCACAGGTGAGACACCGGGCAGCTGAGCACGGTCATTCTGGGACTTGAGACTTCAGTCTCTCCGGGAGGCCAGCATGGGTCAGACCCGGGCCCATCGGGGCCCTGCTGCTGGATCTGGCCGCAGCAAGAGGTTGCTGTGGGCTGCGTGGGCCATGGCCCCGCGACGTCAGGTTCTCTTCTGTCACTGTCCCTCCTCGTGGGGGTGCACACGTGGAGTCCACGTCCAAACCCCGTGTTGAGTGTGCTCATCACGATTCCTTTGGTCTCTCTCTCTTTCTCTCTCTCTCTCTCTTTTTTTTTTTTTTTTTTTTTTTTGTGAAATGGGAGCGGTGCTGCGGGTGAGCTGCACTGAAATATTCCCGTCGTCTGTTCTGCAAAGAAGGCCCTGCCTGTGTTTCCTGTGCCCTGGCTGTGAATTAAGGTGCTTGGGCAATTTAAACGTGCAGAATATCTAAGGGTCCTCACCGCAGTTTCTCCTGTTTTGCTCTGTCCCCTGTTCTCGCAGGGCCTGGATGCAGACAGTCTCCGCGTGGAGCCGCTGGGTGAAGACAGTTCCGGGGCCCTCTACTGGTACTTCTACGGGACCCGGATGTACAAGGAGGCCCCTGCACAAGGGAAGCCCAGCGGCAGGCCTCTGGGCAGGTGTGTGCTTGAGGCAGGGCTGCGGGAGCCCCTGCCTGTGCAGGAGTCTCGTTAAAGCTAAACATGGGGGATGGTGCAGCACGCCGCAGAGAGATGGCAAGAAGCTCTTTCACACACAGGTGAAAAGGGGTCAGTCTGCAGGCCCCGCTGCCAGCGTGGTGGGGCATGTCCGCTAGGGTCCTGAGGACCGCTGCCCCCGCAGCACAGGCACTGTTCCCCCCAGAGCTTGCCCTCCACCAGGGTCAGTTCTGAGATTCCTTTTCCTGCTGGAATTGCGGGTGAGTGTAGGGCAAGTCCAGACCCAGTGCTTCCTAGACAAGGAAGGGGTCGCCTTCCCGCAGCAGCAGGCGTCTGTGTGCCGGGGGAGCGCGCACCCCTGGGAGGTGTTAGGTCCCCCTCTGCCGTTAATAATGGCGTGGGCTTTCCTGGGTCCTCGTGATAGTAGGGAACACAGTCACCCTTCTCCGCCCGTGACCGCCTGATTTAATCCTTGTTGGTAACCGTGTGGCCAGAAGAACTCACAACTCGTTTACAAGTCATACGTAACTCATCAGTTCTACAACAGCATTTCGATTTAATGTACTATTTCTTAGGGAAAGTGAAGGACAGAAAAATGTCTCAAGTGTTCCTGGGAAAACAGGAAAAAGAAGAGGCAGACCCCCAAAACGGAAAAAAGTGCAGGAGGAAACCACAGCGAGGTGAGAAGATCTGTCTAGTCCATGGTGGTCACAGGCCCTTATGCTGGACAGGGCTCACTCCACTTCATCCTTGCTTTTTTCTGCAATGGGAAGGATGCAGGCCTAGGCTGTGGTACCCACGTCCAGATCCTTGCCAGGCTGCCCAGTGCCCCGGGCACCTCGCTGGGTGGCAGAGCTCGTTTGGGGTGAGGACTGGGTTGGACAGGATGGTGGGCGAGATAATGAAGGGGGAGCTGGAGACTGCGCCCAGAGTGGGGCTGAAAATAAGCCAGAAAACCCAGAGGGCGTCCCCTGTGACTCGGGGACTTCGCACCATGGAGCTGAGCACTTTGTGTTTATGGTTTGACCCCACCATCCCTGTGAGGTGGGCATTATTCGTAGACCTGTTCTGCAGGGAAGTCAGTTGACTTTCCTCAGGCCATATGGTCAGTGTCAAGCCTCGAACAGGCTGGTCTGACCTCAGACCTGTGGTGTTCTTAGCCTCACCTTCTGTGAGGTTGGGTTAAGGACGCCTCACCTTCAGTGCAGCCCTCGGCCAGGGAGCAGGCGTGCAGTCCTTACCGTTCTTTTCTTCTTGGCATTTAACCGTGAACACCGAACACCTGTTTTCTTGTGCAGTGATGTTACCGCAGCACTGGGTTCCCTGGTGTCCGTCCTGCCCTCTGCAGGAACACCTGTATCCTGTGGTCACTCTTCCAGTAGCCAGCCTTCCTCCAGACCTTGCTCCCTTGACATGCGCTCTCTCCTGATGTCGAGTCAGTGTGTCTGCCTTATGGGCGAGCACAGCACAGTTCTGGACAAGTTTTTGTTTTAACTGATGCCTCCTTTTCCTGTGTTTCAGTGAAAAGCAGGAAGAGAACTCCTTAACATCTGAGCCACACACAAGAAACGGTAATAGCCTTTGCTGGAGTCAGCAGGGATTGCTCGCTCGTGACTGACTCGCGCGGGGCAATGGGACCACGGCCGCGGCCTTCAGACTAGCGCTTCCCACGTCCCCCGGTGCCCACCCCCATCTGACAGATAACCTGAGATCAGGACCAGGTCTTTTCATCTGGGCCCCACCAGGCCCAGCATAATAGACACCTGAACATGTGGACGAATGGGCAGCTTCTCCCAGAGACACAAGGAAGTTTACTGGGTTTCAGCCTAGACTTCAGCTCTTGCGTGATCCACGCTGCACAAATTTGGGTAGAAATATCAGTTTACAGTATTTCACTGAAACAAGGACTGCAAAAGCTCAAATCAGAGCCATTTATGCAGGAAGTAAGTACGTTTAAGCATTTCTAGGGAACTAAAATCTGTCCTACGGAGGTCTCGGCAGTTACACTTGTATTGCCTTTAGGCATTCTGACCTTTTAGTTGTAAACAGTGAGAGAAACTGGAAAATCAAAAGTACGCAGTATCAACCTTAAAAAGTAATGGTTCTCCCTTTTTTTCTGACTCCCCAGTTTTGATCATAACCCAGAGTACACATGAAACAGAGGAGAGAAAGGAGAAAGGTCCTGGGGGGGTCTGGTCACCGAGCCCATTCCTTTCTCTCCTAGGGTCACAGGGGCCAGGGCAGGGCTCCTGGTGGCTCCTGTGTCAGACGGAAGAGGAGTGGAGACAGGTCACTGAGAGCTTTCGAGAGAGGACCTCCCTTCGGGAGCGGCAGCTTTACAAGCTCCTCAGTGAGGACTTCCTGCCCGAGATCTGCAACATGATTGCCCAGAAGGTGACAGCGGGTGGCCCTCCCTCCCTCTGTGTTCCCTGTAAAGTGGCCCCATTTAAGGGTCTCTTTGCTCCAGTTTTGAATACAACCCACTGTCTCCTGTGGGTGGCACAGCCTGCTCCTTTTCTCACCTGGAGCATCAAGGTGGGACCTCATCACCCGCTCTCCCTTGCTGTGGGGCTTGTCACTCAGTTCTCAGGACTGCAGGTGTCCTCAGTGCCCCCACCCCAGCCCTTACAGTGGCTTTTCACAGCCTGGAACCACCTGTCCTGCTCCTGACCATCCCTGCGGACACGTCCCTGAGCCCCCAGGAGTGTCTCCGCCCTGTCGTGCCTCTCCTTGTGTGTTTGTGCTGCCTTTGTGGTTTGTTTGTTTGTTTGTTTGTTTTGGTTGGCATAAATATTTCATCTGTCTGAACGTACCAGATATTAAACTGATAAGGACACCTACTACACTTGATGTTAGACAGAAGGCCTAGAAGCCTTGTTTTTTTAATACTACCTTCTGGTCTGTCTCCAAGCAGCAGGCTCTGGAGAGCACTTGTCCTCAGAGACGCAGTGCCGGCCCCTTCCCAGCCCCACCTGGGCCCTGCGCACCTTCCTCTCTCTCTGCTTCCCTGCCTGCCCGCCCGCCCCTCTCTCAGAAGCTCCACATGAAGGTCGACACCTCTGTGAGCCGTCCTGTTTCTCTCACCTGAGGATTTCTTCTCTAGTGTGTTCCTCATCCCTGACTCCATTTCAGCAACTTGGGATGTGGGACATGTCCTCCTCCTCGTTTTAAGCCGCACAGCTGACCTAATGCGATGCCCTCTCCGTGGTGGATGCTCAGTAGTCGTTCAGTTTCCTTATTTCATTTCAGTAAATCTGACACTTCTGGTGGTTAGTGCTTGTTAAGAGAATACAGAAAATGTGAGCACTGCCTTGACATCTGAGGAGAAGCTGTTTATAAATTCCTGCTGCAGCACCTCCAGGGAGGGACAAAAATGACAGACAGTGTTACTTGATTTGTTCTGAATTCGATGATATTTCTAACCATTCTGTGGGTGGGTGCTCTGGGGTGAGTTCTAGGAAGTCACCTTCTCTGATAGCCGGAACCTACAAACAGTGCTCCAGCAATTACATTTTCATGGACAGGCAGGAGAGAGAAAAACCCAACTGCATTTCTCCATCAGTATACTTAATTCCACATGTTATAATTGCACTATGTTTTTGTGATCTATAACCCACTGTGACCATTTTTCCAGGATTTGAACTCCATAATCTAATTTTCTTAAAGTAACTATGAAATAGAGATGGTTTTTATAACTTTATAGAACCTTGTTATGACTTAATTCTTTTGACTAATGATGCCACCTTAAATCATCTGTAAGGCACATGCTTAATCTGCTTAAACCTTACTTTATAATTTCTGCCTTTTTACCACTGAGCTATACCCTCCTCCTGATTTCTGCCTTTTTAGTGCAACATTCAACCTAAGACTTTTGGATCGGGGAACTAAGGGAAAAAACTTACAAGCATAAAACTGATGGTTTTGATACAAAAAATTTCAAGAGTTAGTTCTTGGCAAGAGAAGGAAAAATTAAAATACAGCAAACCTTAAATATAAATTTCAAGAACCATGAAATTAAAAACAAAAAATAAATAATAGACTTGATATTTTGAAAGCTATACAGAGCTGTAAATTTGGAGATCTTAGTGAAATGGGGTATTGACTCCTGAAAAACACCCAGAATCTAAGTTATGCAATAGAAAACCTTGGCAGACCAGTAATTAGGGAAGAGGAGTTATCGCAAAAGGATCCGCTCAACAGCTCTAGGATCATTTCGATTTATTTACAGGTAAAACTTTTTAAAACTTCAAGAAAAGATAACTTCCAAACATTTCATAAATGAAGAAAGACAGGGCTTGGCTTCCGTGTCCATAGAGGTATAGGTGTCTTGGAGCCCTGTTCCTGGTTAACTTAAGCGCACTCTCCCTCCAGTGATGGGAATGTCAAGCCTCTAAGAGTACGCTAACAAGCAAATACTGTTCTTCACCGAAGAAAACAGCTCATAATTCATCAGGGTTAACCCAGAGTCTGTGATGGTGGACTTGGTTTTGGAAGTCTTGTGCAGCTGTGGCGTGACAGAAGAGAACAATGAAAGGCAAAATTTCAGAACGTTTCGCCTGGAGGACTAGAAATCCGCTTACAGAGCATTAACTCGCGTTGTGCTGGTGCTGCCAGCCAGGCCCCCCCGTCGGAACCCCAGCTTGCTGACCAGCCCCGGCGCTCCGGGGGCCTCGCCCTTGGAGTGGGCGCCTGTCACCCTGCAGCTGCCTGCAGGAGCGCTTAGCGCTTCGGACGGTTCCCGTGTGCCCTGCAGGTCGCACCTGCTACCTGTCAGCCGCCGGCTGCAGTGCGGAAGCTTCGGGGCTGGTTCCGCAGAAGCTCCAAGCCTTGTGTTGGCCCCACAGGCGCCGCACGGCTCCGGGCTCCGAGCCCCTCAGTGGTTTCCTGTAGCAGCCGCTTCGGAGCCTCCGCACTCTCCTCTCAGGATCCTGAGTGCTCGTATCGGGCGCCTGTTGTCTATAGTTGGAGATGTTCGTGGACCAGAGAGGTGTCCGTGAATGCGCACGGCGGGACGTGGTGGGCTCCAGGAGGAGGAAGGGCCCGGGAGGCAGGCCTCTCTGTGCAGTTGAGATGACACCGCAGATCCCGGTTAGGAGTCGGCTTGGGGTGCGGGTCTGGCTGCGAGTGGCGGTCGGCATCAGGTGGAACGTGTGGACCCTGTTCGGGATAGCCCCCCGGAGCCACGCTGCTCGGGGTTGTGTTCTGTGAGGTGGTTTAGGGCAGTTAAGTAACTTAGCACCACGCTCTAGGAAGGGACAGCTTTGCTGTTCTTATCACTGAGATTTAAAAATCGGCAGAGTGGGAGTGGAATGAGGTCCGAGGGATCCAGACTGCAAGCAGGGCTGTGTTTGATGCCAGAGGTGAGGGTTAGGGAGTCCCCGCACCCATCCTTCCCTTGCCCAGCCCAGCCCAGCCCAGCCCAGCCTGTGCTGCCCAGTTCTCACTTTTTAACCCTTTATCGCCTCTTATCCTATGATTCACGTACGTTTAAGCAGTTTCATGGCCAGAGGAGGCTGCACCTGAGGCCTGGCTGGCGGCTTGTTTTGGTGTGGAGCTTCTGTTGCCTCGCAGTAACTGGGTGACAGCACCGGAGTCATGCTAGTGGGAGCCCTGAAAACCTCATTTATAAACTTCCATTTATGTTAGTGTATTTGGAGTTACCCTTTATCTCTTTTTCCCCAGCTCATAAGCACGCGTGCCTGGAGATAAGAAGCCCAGCGTTTCAGGTGCCTTGGGGTGGCGGTTCTGCACTGGCTGCTTCGCTGTCTCCCCGGTCTCTTCTTCCCTCTAGCGTCAGTATCAGGAGGCCTGTGGTCAGTGGCGTCCAGCCCCGGTGCTCAGCTCGCCGTGGTGGGCTCTCACTGTGACCTGACGGCGAATACCGCTGTGAACGTGCTCTGCCCCCGTCCAGTCCACTGCCCCGGCCAAGCCTTCCGGGCCCTGTTCTAGGTCCCGGGTCGCGTGGTCTCTGAGGTCCTGCTGGTAGGAAGCTCTCCGTGGCTGTTCTTTGCAGTGCTTTCTGTCAGCTCCCTTACTCTGCTCTTTGGTCTTAGGTACAAGTAACTATGGAATTGTAGTTTTTTTTCTTATTTTATTTTTTGAGGGGAAAGGTAATTAGGTTTTTACTTATTTGTTTATTCACTTGATGGAGGTACAGGGGCTTGACCCCAGGACCTCGTGCACACTGAGCGTTCACTCTACCACTGGGCTGTACCCTCCCCCAAGATTCTTTTTTCTTTTATTTTTTTAAAATGTATTTTTATTGAAGTAGTCAGTTTACAATGTTGTGTCAATTTCTGGTGTGCAGCACAGTGCTTCAGTCATACATGAACCTACATATATTCATGTTCATATTCTTTTTCACCATAGGTTACTACAAGATACTGAATATGGTTCCCTGTGCTGTACAGTATGAACTTGTTGCTTGTCTATTTTGTGTATAGTAGTTGGCATCTGCAAATCTCGAACTCCCGGTTTATCCCTTCCCACCCCCTTTCTCCTCTGATAACCATGAGTTTGTTTTCCATGTCTGTCAGTCTGTTTCTGTTTTGTAAATCAGTTCATTTGTCTTTTTGAGATTCTTAGTATCTGTAACGTTACCAAGAGTCCTGGGGAAAACCTCAGTTGTGGCATGAGTTTTGTGCTTTTGTTTAAACAGCAGAAAATCTGCGGGTCTTTAAAGGCTACAGTGCAGGCGGGCTTCCGACCTAGACTGGTCCCCCAGGAGTCCAATCTCACTGCCTCAGAAAGTCCTTTAATTAGGGCCCTGGGGGAAGCGTCAGTGGAGGGGGCTCTCTGGGCCCCAGGGCCAGGGCTCTGTGGCTGTTTTGTCAGGAGACTGGGCATTGCTGTCCAGCCACCGGGGAGCTCTGTCTCAGGTGTGGTGACCTGCCCTTGGGGTGGGGGCTCCGCCCGGGGTCTAGGCGCTGCCTCGGCCAGATCCTGTTGCTGAGTGTTGAGAAGGTTTCAGGTGTCTCTTCTTAGCTTCTCTTTAAAATTGCTTCCTGATGCCCCGCGGGCCTCTCCACGGTCCGGCATCAGGTCCGGCATCAGATACGGCTCCTGCTCCTTTTGCCACTGACTGCTTCTAAAGAGAAGACTGCAGTGTGAAACACGGGGAGATTTTTTTTTTAACTGTCGGCTTTATGTTCGTTTTTTGTTCTCTTGGCCATACGTGTTCTTTACACCGAACTGTTAAGCTGTTAAAGCCTGAAAGAGGCGTCTGACTAAGCAGAAGTGTTTCCAGGCTGCAGGGCAGGGTGAGGTGGGGACAGGCAGGGGTGGAGGCACCCGGAGAAGGGCTGCGGCAGGCAGAGGCTGTCGGGACGACACAGGGCCAGCTGCTGGGGCCGGCTCTCAGCACCTGTCACACCCAGCACGTCCTCCTGACTGGTCACCAGCCCTGCCTCTTCCCCAGGGCTTCCTGACATCACAGCTGGAGGTTTGTACTTTCTGACCCCTTTCCTGCCTCCGGCACCCGCCAGTCTGTTCCGTGTCTGTGAGTTCAGCCTTTTCAGATTGCACCTGCAGGTGAGGTCATACAGTGTTTGTCTGGGTTGTTTCACTAAGCGTAGGTCATCCACGCCGTCGCAAGTGACATGACAGCGTTCCGTTCCTTTTGCGGCTGAGTAGTGTTCCCTTGTGTCCATACACCACCTCGCCTGTACGCGTCCACCCGTGCAGCCTCGGCGTCTCGGCTGCTGTGCGTGGTGAGTGCAGGGAACGTGGGGTCCCCGCACCTTTCACAGCAGTGCTGCATTTTCTCTGGAAGGAGACCCAGGGATGGAACTGCTGGATCATCCAGTTTGTTGAGGACCCTCCGCTCTGTCTTCCGCAGGGGCTGCACTAATTTACATTCCCACCAGCAGTGCACGGGGCCCTCTTCCCCACACCCCTGCCAGCACTTGTCCTTCCCTGGCATTTTGGGGAGTCATTCTGACAGGGTGAGGGGCACCTCACTGTGGTTTTGATGCATTTGCCTGATGATTAGTGACGTCGCCTGTTGACATTCGTACGTCTTTAGAAAAACATCTGTTCAGATCCTCTGTCCATTTTCCAGTCCGGTTGCTTCTTTGATGTTGAATCTTACTAGTTCGCATTTTAAAAGATGGTGTAAACTCCTGTTACTCAATTATTACATTTTACGTGCTTAATATTAAAAAAAATTAATGTATTTTTTTTAAAAAAACTAACCAGACAAAAACCTGCATGATTCAATTTATGTGAAGTGTCTGGAGTAAGTAAATTCGTAAAGACAGAGTAGGTAGGTTTGTGGTGGCCAGGGGTGGGGGGTGGGGACTGCGGGCCATCTGCTTAGCGGGTACGAGCTCTCTTCTGGGCGGTGAGAATGTTCTGCAGCTTAATACGGATGGGGCTGTGCATCGCTGCGTGTGCTAAATGGCCCTCAGTTGCATGCTCTAGAGCTGTTAGATTCCTGTGCATCTTTACATGTATTTGACAATGGTGCAGTCTCTGCTTTAGCAGCAGTTCTTGGCATTTATAATTTTCCTGTCTTTCAAAACTCGTGCTTCATTGTTATCAGAATACCTTGAACTAGTTAAAAGTTACTTTTAATACTTCATCTTAAAATTTACAAGTGCTAATAACCTTTTGATACTTGAACATTTTAATTTAGACTTTTAATGGGGACCCCATAATAGTGGGAGTAAAAAGTTAATAAAAATTAAATAATCAGAACACGTAACCCTAGGTAATTTCCCCGGATCAGCTCGGAAGGGGTTGTTCTGGGTCCAGAGGAGTTTCCGTGCTCCCAGAAGGACCAGGGTGACCAGGCACCGTGCTGCGGCCATCCACGTGCCCTCTCTGGCCTTCTCTGTGCGCTCATTCCAGAGCTGGGGTCGCCTTGACCTCTGTCTTGTGACCCAAGTTCTTCACTTAATATTGTGAGCCTTTTCTTGTTTCATTAAATATTCCCCAGGAGAAAACAGTTTTTAATAATTACATAGTAATTATGTAATTTCACCTATTTTTTAAACATTTGTGATATTTAGTTTTTCTCTATTGTACGTAATGTTTTGTTTAACCCGCTCATGGGAAGATTTTTCCTGGCTGTCTCATTTTTAAGATGAAGTCGCAGCAGTGTAGTGACTTTTGAGGGTTTCTGATTCGTGCATCCAAGTCATCTTCCAGGAGGTCTGTGCACCCAGCGCGTTGAGGGTGTCCCTCTTACCCCGTCTTGGCGAGGGAATCACTTTATAGTCTCTTAACGGTTTTGTAGGTGAAAAGGCTGTTTTGCTCTTCCTTGTGATCGTGGGGTTTATCTTCTGTGAATATTGTATTCATGTTCCATGTGTTTTGGGTTGTGAGACGTCTTCACACATTAAGAACAGTAAATTGTTCTGTTTGAAAGGAATTATACGGATATTCTTGGGACTTGGGTAGTGTCTTTTTTTCCCTTTCTCCTCCCTTCCGTTGACTTTGTACGTGAAACGCCTGATGTTTGTTTACCAGAAGATTCTTCAGTGACTTAACATCTATGTTGGTAAGTCATGGCGTGCGTTTCCTTAGTCCTCGCTGAAGTGTAGGCTGTGTTTGGCAGCCCTCGGTCCTGGCTGGAGGGAGGACACTGTGTGTGTTCTCACCTGCTGTCCTTTGTCGGGCAGGAGCAAGACGCGCATTAGCGCTGTCAGCGTTTACGTGCGTGACCTGTGGGTGTTAACGTACACTTGTTTCCTCTCCCTTCTCACTGGGGCTTGTGCAGAAGGCGCTGTGGTTCTCCCTGGACGACATAATTCCTCTGATAAGGCGTGTTTCCCGCTGTCCCCCCTTTCTGCCATCCTGTGCCTAGAGTCGCTATGCAGCTGGAAAGAGCGAGGGCACCTTGTTTCGGTCTCTTTGGTTTGTTAAACTGTAGCTGCATTATAGCTTCTCCACTGGGGAGGATGCTGCCAGGGAGGTGAACAAATCTTGGCCTGTGGAGCCAGGCGGGGGGAGGCAGGCTGCTTGCCCAGCACTAGGAGGCAGCGGTGGAGACACTTCTCCAGAAGATTCGTTCTCGTGATGCCAGCGGCGTCCCAGGTTCAGACAGGACCACTGCCCACTCGGGTCGCAGGAGAAAGAGCTTACAGAACTTTAATTCTGTCTGGGTGACTAAGTACAGGGTTACGTGTGCAGTAATAATGGTTAAATTTTTTCCTTCACTTTTCTTTCTTTTCTCTTACTCATTTCAGATCTTTACCTTGTAGGGAGCAAATTCTGTTGAAGTCAGGCTCATAGAATGTGAACAGTAAAAATGACTTTCAGAAGGTCTACTGTCTGGGCAACACCACTTCCAAATTCTGAGTCAAATGAGAATTTAAACTCTTTTTAAGGACCATAAAGAAAATAGTTTAAAATTTCCTCCGAGTGGTTTCAGTGTTTAATGTTAGACTTTGTATAAATGACAGTCTGCCTTCGTCTTTCTTCTCTCTGCATTCAGACCACTTGTGTAATTTCCGCAGAATGAAGATAATCTGGCATAGGAGAGTCTTAGGACTTCTGCTTACCAAAAGGATCTGTTAAGAAATCTTCACACTCCTGATTTAGTTTCACATAAAATGGGGTGGCTAGTGTTATATTTTCTGTAGGGGATGTGAACCCCCCCTTTGTAGACCCCAATTCATTTTTCTGTGTCTGTGCAGCTCACAGACACTCTCTGTTGCAGGTCACAGCCACTGCCTCTTCAGTGACAGCCTTAACAGAGCTCTGCCTTGCACGTCAGCGCAGAAGTTAAGGGAGGAAACTGAAAATAAAAGCACTTCTGGTTGTAGCTTGAGTGCTGGGCCTGCAGGACGGCTCAGGACTCATCACACTGGGAATACACAGGGGAACTTGCAGGTTACGATGGAGGAGGTCCTGTGTCCTTTTCTTCCATTTAATGTCTGAGGCAGTCACGGTCCCGCTCACCACCTGACATCATTATGTTAATGTTGTCTGGGTTGAAAAACAAGGGGAAAGCCAGCCAGTCCCTGTACTGCCCTCATCTCCTCACTGTATTTTCAGGCAAAGTGGTGGCCCTTCCCACCGAACTCCTGGCTTTATTCACCTTTTTGTTAGTAAGGAAATGCACAGAGGTCAGGGGCTCTAAGGCTGTGCGCGTGGCTGACGCTGTGAGTCTGACACCTTGCCCTGCTCTCAGTTACGGGGACGAGAGTGCTTCTGAAGGACCAAATCCGAGAGGGGGCTCCGCAGCCTCTCCTCCAGAAGAGGACCTCCCAGAGACTGCGGATGTGCAGCTCACTGGGCCCCAGGCTTTCCCCCGTTCTAATCACTGTGTATTTTAATGTTAGCATGTGTGTGTCCGTTGGTTTTACAGATGAGGTTAATTTGTGGCTAGGATACAAGTCACCTGGCTGTCTGACACTGTGTATGGAACAGAACACACAGAAGAGCTCGGGGCCGAGACCACACCACTGTGTACTGACTGTGCGCTTCTTGGCCCCTCACAGGAGACCCCCGTGCTCACCAAAGCAGAGAAGCAGGAGCGCAGGCAGGAGGAGGAGGAGCGGCAGCTGATCCTGGCCGTGCAGAAGAGGGAGCAGGAGCGGATGCTGAGGGAGGAGCGGAAGCGAGAGCTGGAGGAGAGGGTCAAGGCAGTGGAAGGTAGGGCGGTGCGCACAGGCCCCGCAGCGGCTGCGGGCACTGTCCCGCCCCGAGCAGCCCGGGCTTTCTGCTTCCTGTCTGGGTGGGCCTCGCACCTGTGCTCCTGGGCCCCTGCATTCTCTCGTCTCTCGTCCCCTCTGCGTTCCCCGTGTGGGGTGGAAAAAGGTTCGTTTCACAGAAGTCACTTTAAGCACAAAGGAGATGTGTTCAAAGCGTCAGGTCTGTCCTGGCCTGCGTTACGAGGTCTGGAGTGTGGCCGGCCTCTGCTCTGGGTCTGGGGGCCCCGAGGGCATCCCTCTGCGTGCGCTGGAGGCACAGGGCAGCAGCTGTCTCCCCGTGAGCTGGGCGGCAGTTGTATTTATTAATGAAACCTGACAAACCGTGGGACGACAGGTCATTTGGCTTCGTTACTAACGGCCAGGGTTGGGGCTCGTCAGACCTGCACACTGGGGGCTCACGGAGCTGAGCCTCGGGCGCCCCCCTCCTGCCCACCTCAGGGCTCCTAGTGGCCAGACACAGCAGCAGAGAAGGGGAAAGGAGCACAGGACAGAAGCACCCTCACAGCGGACCGCAGGGATGCAGCACGGGAGGCTGGCATGTGTCTGCTGTCTGTCGTGAAAGAGGGTCCCGTGAACGGGGCAGAGAAAATATTCAGACGTTAATGGTGAAGAATCTTCTTGACTTGATGGAAAAATACAAATCTTAGAATTAGGAAGCAAGATGAGCCGTGAGCTGGATGTAACAGACTCGGGAGAACGCCTTACAGAACATACGCCCGCAGACATTTGAAGTAACCAGTTTGGAAGAGGGCACTTAGAGGATGCTCCGTAACGGAGGTGGACGTCTCGGGAGCCCTTGGGACTGGGGTTGTGTTGGTCTCCTGGGTCCCGGCACAAGGACCAGGACTGGGTGTTCGGGGATAGCACAGCTGGCTCCACAGCCCCAGAGGCCTGCTGTCTCAGATCTGGGCGTCGGCAGGGCCCGGGGGTGTGCCCTCCTCTGCCTCCTCCAGCTTCTGGTGGCTCCTGGCATTCCTTCTTTTCTGGTTTCCTCTGAAAACTCAGAATCGAAGGGAACTTCCTTAACCAACATCTGTTTCTAAAGATCTCAACAAACACTGTTGAATTGGGAAGTACTAGAAGGGCTCCCTTTTGAGTCAGGGAGAAGGCAGATTTCCTCTTCCATTGCTTCTGTTCTGAATCGTATTGCTTTGTAGGGGTTTCTTTTCTCAAGTGGGAAATAATGTACCCCCCCCCACACACACATACAGACAATCTAGGGAATGTGTTCGAAACTCCAAGAAAATAGCCAAGAAATTATTGTAACTAATAATAGTTAAGCCAGGGAAGGGCTTCAGGACGGCAGAGTAGAAGGATGTGGTGACGGCCCCCAGTACACCAGAAAGGCACCTGCACGTGGCGCAGGTCCCACAGTACCTACTAAACTGAAGGTCTTACACAAGTAAAGCTGCAAGAAAATCTCCATGTAACCAGGTTGGCTGGGAGGGGAAAAAATGAGGGGCCCTGCACCCCCGGGAGGAGGCGGGGAAAGAAGAAAGGTTCTCTTGCTCTGGGAGCCCCTTCATCAGCGGGGAGATGAGCTGGGGCAGAGGGGAAGCTTCAGAGGCTCAGAAGAGAGAGCTGGAGCATGTTGTGGCAAGCCAAATGGAGCGAAACCAGCTCAGAGGGTCCCTGTGGTCCCCAGGCTGAGACACGAGCCTGCTGGTGTGTGCCGGGACTGGGTGCTGGAGCTCGGGATTCGGAGGACGACCCCAAGGAGAGGACTAGGGCTGGCTGCTGCAAGACAGCCTGAAGGGCCTGGAGTGTGGTACGAGCTGAACCTGAGGGCAGCAGAGCCTGGGTCCCCCCTTAAAAAGCCCCGTTGTTAGTGCAGAGAGGCTTGACCAGGCCATAGCGGCTTCCTCCTGTGGCCCAGCCATGGAAGCCCCATTGTTAACGCCTGGGAGCTGTCTCCTTGCTTGCAGCTCTGGGAGGGCTCACTTGCTCATGGTTGCCCTCAGGCGGAGGCGGACTGAAATCTGAGCCCATTCCTAGGGGCCACATGACTGGGGATGCAGGGCAGAAATTTGAGTCCTGCCCCAGGTGGATTCGGAGGACGCTGGTGCCTTGGTCAAGTCAGGGCCTGCAGGACGTCTGATCAGAACACCGGTGCACAGTGGGGGCAGGTCAGCGTTAATGACGGTGTGCACATGTGGAGGCGGGCCTAGGGTCTGGGCTCACCTGTAGTCCACGGCCTATCCAGGTGCATGACTACACGCAGCTCTGGTGGGTCCTGGTGCCTGGCTTCAGTGGACCTGCCCTGGTGACTGTAAGCACAGGGCCTGAGGGACACCAGGGCTGAATGCCTACATTCTCACATCTGAGGCAGGGCCGAGGGCAGCGCCAACAACAGTGCACTTTGTGAGCCCGCATGACGGGTGACAGGTGACACCACAGAGGGCAACTCCGCGGCCCCTCCCTTGGGTCAGTCTCTCTCGGGTCAGTCTACCCAGGCAATAGAAATAAAAGCAAAAATAAACAAAAGGGACCTAATTAAACTTGTAAGCTTCTGCACAGCAAAGGAAACAATAAACAAAATGAAAAGACAACCCACAGAATGGGAGAAGATATTTGCAAACATTGCAGCTGAGAAGGGCTTCATTTCCAGAATATTCAAACAGCTCATACAGCTCAATTTCAAAAAACAAGCATCCCAGTCAAAAAATGGGCAGGAGACCTGAACAGACATCTCTCCAGCAAAGACATACCAGTGGCCAGCAGGCACACGAAAAGAAACGCAAATTAAAACTACAGTGAGGTTTCACCTCACATAGGTCAGAGTGGCCATCATTAAGTCCACAAACTAAATGCTGGAGAAGGTGTGGAGAAAAGGGAACCAACCCTCCTATACTGTTGGTGGGAATGCAGTTTGGTGCAGCCGTTGTGGAAAACTGTACGGAGATTCCTCAGAAGGCTGAAAATAGACTTAACCCTATGATCCAGCAATCCCACTCCTGGGCATATATAGCCAGAGGGAACTCCAATTGAAAAAGACACATGCACCCCAATGTTCATAGCAGCACTGTTTACAATAGCCAAGACATGGAAGCAACCTAAGTGTCCATCGACAGATGACTGTATGAAGAAGATGTGGTATGTTTATACAATGGAATACTACTCAGCCATAAAAAAGAATAATGCCATTTGTAGCAACGTGGATGGACCTAGAGATTATCACACTAAGTGAACTAAGTCAGAGAGAAAGACAAATTTTTGATACCACTTATATGTGGAATCTAAAAAAATGACACAAATAAACTTATTTGCGAAATGGAAAAAGACTCACAGACGTAGAAAATTGTTGGTTACCGGGTTGAGGGGAAAGGAGAGTGATAAATTGGGAATTTGGAATTAGTGGATACACATGCTACTGTAAATAAAATAAACAAGGACCTACTATGTGCAGCACAGTAAGTACACTTAGTGTCTCATAGTAACCTGGAGTAGAAAATGTATCTGTAAGCAGAAATCCAGGTAGCTGGGTTGGTTATCATTATACAAGTACCAACGTAAATAATCTTTAAAAAGGCAGCATGGCCCCATAGCAGGAAGACCCCTAACGCCCAGAAGGAGGCAGGCTGACCCCAGGCCGGGGCAGGAGCGCGAGGTGAGCCTGGACCCCTGGGGAAAGGAGGCAGGCTGACCCCAGGCCGAGGCAGGAGCGCAAGGTGAGCCTGGACTCCCAGGGAGGGGCTCACTTCTTGTGGTGGTGCCTCGGCCTGTGGGTGGCCTGTTGTCAGGACGGACTGGAGGGCACCGGTGTGGGGGATGCTGCCCAGGGGTCCTGGTGGCCAGCGGAGTGCGTGCTTGTGAGTGCCATGGGACCAGAACCAGCCCCCACCCCAGGCACGGCAGGAGGCAGCAGACCACACTTGTCTTCTGGAGGAGGCTTCCTAGCAGATCGCTGCTGCTGAGGCTGCGGCTGAGGGCCAGGTTTCTAACTAAACCTGCATCTCAGGCCCCCAGCCTCCAGAGACCCCAGAGGGTGGGTGCTCCAGAGTGCCAGGGGGCACCCCTGGGTGGCCTGACTGTGGTAGCAGGAGGGACTTCAGTTCCTGGGTCCCTGGGGCCTGTGGAGTGTGGAGGGCTGGTTTAGGGCCGTCCTGCGAGCTTGGGCCAAGGGCAGGGCTCAGGTTGGGCCTGTGGAGTTGCTCTCCCCGGACAGGGGCTGTGGGCATCTTCTCACACTCCCCAGGCCAGGCTCCGTCTGTGACCACCACTTGGACTCCTGCCGGGGCAGGGGGTGGGCTGCAGAGGCAGCTGGTGAGAGCTCAGATGCGCCTGCAAAACCTCGCACGTGTCTGAATTGAGATCTGGTTCTAAAACGGGGATGTGGCCTTTTGTTGGTTTTGTGAGGGGGAGGTAATTGGGTTTGTTTGTTTGTTTATGTTTGGAGGAGGTGCCGGGGATTGAACCCGAGACCTTGTGCATGCTAAGCACGTGCTCGACGCTGAGCCATACTCTCCTGCCGGATGTTGTGTTCTTGAGGGAAAGATAGGGAAGGCCTCTTGTCCTCAGACAAGGGTGATCCCCACTCAGTCTTCCGTTTTCCTTTCCGCCGATTCCACTTTTCTTCTCTCTTGCTCCTCCCTGTCCCCATCCAGAGTCCATCTGCTTACCTCCTGCCCCAACTTGAACTTCATATGACTAAGAGGAAATGGGTCCCACTTGTTTATCATTTTCTTAAAGCATTCCACTATAGAATCGTCCTAATTATCAAAAAGAAGGATGCAGAGGAGGCTCCAGGAGCACGTCATGACATCGCTCTGGAGGTCTGTTTCCTTCCGCTCGCGGAGTGTCGGCAAGCATCTGACCTCTAGCGCCCCTGACGCACTGTGCCTGTGTCCACCGCAGACCGAGCCAAGAGGAGGAAGCTGAGGGAGGAGAGGGCCTGGCTGCTGGCCCAGGGGAAGGCGCTGCCACCGGAGCTGTCCCACCTGGACCCCCCGTCCCCGCTGCGGGAGGAGAAGAAGGCTGAAGACCTGTGAGTGTGTGTCCTAGCCCAGGCCCCACGGCAGTCCCCGCGGGCGCTGCCCTGTGCTCGTTCTGCCTCTGTTCTTTCGGGAGTGTATTCTTCACCCTTTTTAGATCTTATATTTCTTTAGATTCTGTTAGATTTAAAAATACTGATTTGAGTGAAATAAAACCTGGGAAAGGATGTGCTAGTGAGTAACTAACTTTCTAGAGTCATAAGTCAGTTCGAATCATCATGGTCAAGCATCATTCTGTAGATGCGGAAAATGATTTCCCCTTTGTGCTAAAGCGTGCGCACCCTTCCCTTTGTAATCACTTCCTGGAGTGTCCTCAGTGCTGCAGGCTTGCCTTAGAAGATTTACGGGGGCTGTTCTGGTCTCAGTGCAGTGAGCCATGTCTGCTTGAGCTGAGAGAAACTAAGGCGAGGAGGTGGTCTCGGGTCTGCTAAGCCCTTGTTCTCTGATTACAGCTTTGAGCTGGACGACGAGTTCACGGCCATGTACAAAGGTCAGTTCCTGCGCTCAGCTGCTGTGCTTCTGGTGCTGTGTCCCCGGGAGTGTGAACTAAGCTCTCCTCTTGGCCCTTAGTCCTAGACGTGGTGAAGGCACACAAGGATTCCTGGCCCTTTTTGGAACCTGTGGATGAGTCGTACGCCCCGAACTATTACCAGATTATTAAGGTAGAGGCTGTACTTCAGTCGTGCCTGCTGTGGAGTGCATGTCTCTGGTGGTTGCTGCTGTGTTTGTATCACTCAGGGATCAGAGCTGCCGGATATATTTGAGCAGCCCTTTTTTTTTTTTTTAACTTTTGAAAAAATTTTAAATTTTTTTGGGAGAAGGAGGTAATTAGGTTCGTCTGTTCATTTATTACTTTTGGTGGAGGTGCTGGAGATTGAGGCAGGGACCTGTGTGTGCTAGGCACACACTCCACCCCTGAGCAGCTCTTAACGGTGTGGTTTCTCTGTCTCATGAGGACTCCGAGATGTTTTTTCCAGCGTCTGGTAAAGAAATGTGTCCTGTTTTAGGTCCCCATGGATATTTCAAGCATGGAGAAGAAACTGAACGGAGGTTTATACTGTACCAAGGAGGAATTTGTAAATGACATGAAAACTATGTTCAGGAACTGCCGAAAATATAACGGGGACAGTAGTGGTAAGTGGAAAGGGGGTGATCTCCAGATCTTGTACCATTAGGACCAAGAATAAAATGCCTTCTTTTGTAGAAGTACACACTTTAGGGATTCAGACCTTTCTTTGGGACCGCAGAGAGCATGTGTAGTAAAGCCCTGGGGGCGGCTGGACCAGGCCCTCTCCTGCCTCCGTGACAAGAGACGGCTCCCAGGGCCCAGGTTCTCGTGTCCTTGAGATGGCCTGGCTCTGGTGGTTCTGTCTCCATCTTCAGTCGTGTTCAGAACCGCAGAGCAGCTGTCTGATGACAGCCTGTGCTGCCCCAGGGGCAGGAGTGGGCGCTGTCACACACTAGCCCCTGGCGCCCTCGTTTCTTTCCTGGGCAGATTCTGTGATTGTGCCTAGTGTCTGCAGGTGAGCCTTGCAGAGGTCAATTTGTACTGGTTTGGGGTGAGAGTCCTGGAGCCAGTGCCTTGGCCACACGGCCTGGAGCCTCTTACACAGAAACCGTGTCCCCGGCTGGTGTCTGGCTCCGCCGCATGTTTCCCCGGGGGCTTCCTGTCATTTGCTGGCAGGTGGGCTGTCTCTGGGGGCTGCGAGCTGTGTCCTTGCGTCCCTGTAGAGTACACCAAGATGTCGGATAACCTGGAGCGGTGCTTCCACCGGGCGATGGCGAAGCATTTTCCTGGCGACGACGGGGACACGGACGAGGAGTTCTGGATCCGTGAGGATGAGAAGCGAGAGAAGAGGCGGGGCCGGGCGGGGCGGGGCGGCGGCCACGCCTGCACCCGCTCCCGGGACCCAGAGGGGCCCAGCAGGAGACAGCAGCCCATGGAGAATGGGGGCAAGTCGCTGCCCCCCGGCCGCCGAGCCCCTTCTGCACAGCCCCCTCGGGAGGGGGGCGTGTCTCGGCCCCTGCACTGCAGTGGGGGGCCTGGCCAGGCCCCCGCTCTGAGCCAGACGGTAAACAGCCGCTCCTGGGAGGTCAGGGTTGGGGGCGGAACAGCCTTCCCCGCTGGCCCCTCTTCCAAAATGGTTTTCCTGCATGTCAGTGATCTCTTCTCCCCCATCTGTTCCTCACTGGTTCTCCTTTATTTTAAACCCTTCTTTCTCTCACTCGTTTGAACCTCACATTCTCAATGTGGGCAAAAATTTGAATTAAAAAACTCACTCCTTTTGAAAGTAAAAGGCACGTAGGTGCACACAGTACATGAAGTTTCCTGGTGGAAGCAGCTGGGGAAGCCCTGTGTGAGGAGGCTCTGGGGTGGGGGGCAGTGGAGGGATGCACCGCCCCGAGGGCACCTGCTCCAGGCTGCTGGGTGTGGGTGCCTTCTTCCTCCGGACGTGAGGGACGTGCTTTCTCTCTTCTCCTTGCCCTTCCTCAACGCCCTCCAGAGGCCTGCAGTGCAGGGGGCTTTTTGCCCTCTGCGAGGGTCGGAGCTTCCCGCCGTGCGTGTCTCCTCTGGAGCCCCAGAGCTGCGCCCCGGAGGGCCTGGGCAGCAGCATCCGCCTTTAGCAGTGCAGGTAAGCAGGCCGCTGAGAGGCGCAGGTGCCGGGGTGAGTTCCAGAACTCATCATTTCCTCTTGCCTTGGGGTCAGCACGTCACGGGATCTGCCTTGTTCTGCGGGTCTGGTGAGCTCTGCTGTCTTCTCTCTCCTCATTCCCAGCCTCCAGCTGGAATTAACCACCAACGAGGACCCGGGCGAGGCATCCCAGACGAGAAGCCCATGTGCGGGGCGCTGGGGCACCTCGCCGACGTGGGACCACCTCCTGGACCCCTGCAGCTCAGGCAGATGAGCGGCCCCAGTCAGGATGGAAACGTGTATCCCGCCGCTCATTTCCAGCCAGGATTTATTCCTCCCAGGCACGGTGGGGCCCCGGCCCGGCCCCCAGACTTCCCTGAGAGCTCGGAAATGCCTCCTAGCCACATGTACCAGTCGTACAAGTACCTCAATCGAGTGCACTCTGCTGTCTGGAACGGGAACCACGGTGCTACAAACCCAGGACCCCTGGGGCCAGATGAGAAGCCCCCCATGGGGCCAGGACCCTCTCACCCGCCTCGCACTCTTGGGCACATGATGGACCCCCCCGTGATGAGACCACCCCTCCCCCCAAACCAGTGGCCTGACCACTCAGGCTTCCTACCTCATGGAGTCCCTTCTCCGGGGTTCCTGCGACCACCCTGTAAAGCTGGTGGACATCGGTTGCAGCCACCTCCATCCCCAGCACCAGGGTCTCTGTTTGGAGCCCCCGCCCAGGCCATGCGGGGGGTGCAGGGCGGGGACTCCATGATGGACAGCCCGGAGATGCTCGCCATGCAGCAGCTGTCCTCCCGTGTGTGCCCGCCAGGCGTGCCTTACCGCTCCCGCCAGCCTGGCCCCCCGCCTCTGCCTGGCCCTTTCACACAGCTTGCTCACTCGGCCCCCAGGCCTGCCCTGGGGGGCCCTGGGAGGATGCAGGACAGCAGCGGAACACAGGAGCCTGAGGACGGCCGAGGTAATCCCCAGCTCCCTCCATCCGACCCCTGGCTCCCCAAGCTGTCAGTTCACACAGAACTCCAGGTAGCTTGTGGGCTGGCCTCCAGCCTCGCTGTCCTCAACTCCGTGGGGCTGAGCCAGTCGTGGCCCAGAAGGCTTTCTGGCGACGATCATGTGGGTGGTGCTCAGGCACTCTGTGAGACTTTAACCTGTAACTCGCTTAATTCTCAGAACAAGCCTTTGCGGGAACAATTTTTATTATCCTTATTTTTACAGATGGAAAATCGAAGGCACAAAGGCAGTAGGTTATTTGCCTTCATCTAGCTCCAAACTGGTGGAGCTGAGGTTTGAACCAGACACTCGGGCCCTGGCGTCCTTGCCGCAGCCATGTGTCATCCAGCGGCACCTAAAATTACTGTCCTGAGCGTTCCCACTGTGAGAGGCGTCCACAGTGCTCTCCGTGAGGTCCAGTTCTTCCATCTCGTCCACCCCACGGGGGCGTCTGTGCCCACTGAGTCAGGACAGTGAGCGCTGGCACATCTCGCGGGAATGTGTTGGAGGTGCCATCGAGGGGGTGGACCTCAGGCTGCGGGAGAAGGATGACAGGGCCCCTCTGTGGTGGAGGCTTATTTCTGAGATAGACGTCCAGCCTGTGTTGCCTATATCGGTGAGGCGGGGTGGCTGGGCCTTCTGCAGGACGCGGTGACGGCTCCCTGTGAGATTTCAGCGCTGCTTCCAAGCAGAGGCCCCCTCTGGACTTTCCAGTGATGATTTCAGGCAAGTCTGGGGTTTAGAGCTTCAGGGGAAGAGCCCCACGGCGAAGCCTTGGCGCGTTCACGTTGGCCGAGGAAAAGCACACACCTGACTTTCAGTGGACAGCCTGTGCCTTTGACCTTTGAGCAGCTTTGCCCGTCAGCACCTGGGGCTCAGGTTGATCTTCAGTGTCGTGAATTTTCTCTTTTTGGGTATTATTCATTCTGTAGGTTTTTTGTTTTAAATGGAAGCACAGTCAGTTTACAGTATTGTTAGTTTTTGGTAGAGAGCATAGTGGTTCAGTTGTATCATACGTTTGTGCTCTGCCGCGCTGTCATTGTAGGCTCTTGCAAGGTACTGCGTGTCGCTCCCCGTGCTGTATACGCGTGGGGTTTTGTCTGCACGATGACTGTAGTGCTGCGTGTTGTGCTTAGTAGTTGGTATCCCATTGTGCATTCTTGATTTTCCTCTTAAGCTTTGACCAGGGTCGTTTTTAACCCTACCTGGCCAACAGCTCCCTCCTTGAGACGGGTGAATGCAGTAGCACAGTGCAGAATTCCGAGCTTGTCATCAAGCCCTTGAGCCTAGTAATTTGTGCGCTGAGTTCTTGTAATATGTGGGAGGTGCCTTTTGAGTTCTTGCTGTAGGCATCCAAAGTGAGTATTTTCATTCACTCAGCACTGACTGACTTGAGTCCCCATTTTGTGCAAGCACTAAGCATGATGGAAATCAGAACCAGGTCCCTGCTCCCTTGGGGCTGGTGTCCTCACTCGCAGAGCCGGGGACTGGCCTTCCCCGCGTGTCCGCCGTGCCCTGGTCCTTCTCAGTGTGGCAGGCAGCGCTTCCCAGGCAGGCCTGTGCCTCCAGCACCCTGTGTCACGTGCACCCCCTTGGGGCCATGGGCTCGGGTCCGGGAAGGATGTTGCCGCTCCTTGGCAGACTTTACAGGGGCTGCAGGCGTCCCCCTCGTCCTGTGAGGGAGTGTGTCAGGGTCACCCTGCGTGCACAACATCTGACCACCTGTCTGTCGTGTGCTGTCATTTCGGCTCCTGAATTGCGGTTTTGTCTGGTTTTTCTTGCAGCAGACCCCTTGCCTGGGCTGGAGGAGAAACCAGCGAGCGTCGGTGCTTTGGAGGGGGTGTTCCTCAAACAGCTACCTCACCCCACACCCCCCCTGCAGACCGACTGTGCCCGGCGGAGCTCACCCCGGGGAAGGGACTCGGAGGCCCCCGAGCTCAGAGGCGAGCTGGGGGAGCCTGGAGGCAGCTGTAAAGGGAGCACGGGCAGGAACACCTGGCCATCGGGGGGCAGCTTCGCCAGCCCCGCTGCCCCAGGCTGCACCCTGGCCGACCGGGGGTCACTGCCCGAAAACGGAGTGAGGGTGGAAGCCTCGCCATGCGGGTCAGAGGGCAAGGGCCTTCGTGGAGGTGCTTCAGAAGAGCCTCTCTGCCCCAGGGGCCGGGCACTGAAGGAGGCTGTGCCGCCCGGTGCAGACCCCGCCTGCTCCCCGCTGTACGTGCCCGGCCTGGAGTACCCCAGCTCAGCCGCGCGATACCACATCAGCCCCGGCCTGCAGGCTTTGGGCCCTGTGATGGGGGGCAAGCCCCCCGCCCCGCCCCCTCAGCCTTTCCCCCCTCGCGCGTTCCAGTCTCACGACCCTCATTCTGGAGTCTTTCCCCGGTACCGCCCCCACCAGGCGCTGAGGTTCCCCTACCAGCCTGCGCCACAGCCCTCCTACCGCCACTACCCGCGTACCTACTACTCCTGCCCACAGGGCCTCCACGACTGGCAGAGACCCCTCCCCGCCCCAGGAAGCCCGAGCGGGGCCCTCTTCTCGGATAAGAGCGCCGCGGCCGGTCTGCAGGGCTGTGAGGCGCTGAGCGCTGCCTTAACCCCCCCGACCCGCGTGCACGCGGTGGCTGCCAAGACGGCCCCGGCTGAGGGGCAGAACCCTGGCCCCGAGGAGGAGAAGCCGGATGAGTCTGTGGAGAGGCCCGAGAGTCCCAAAGAGTTCTTAGACCTGGACAACCACAACGCGGCTGCCAAGCGACAGGGTTCACTGTCAGCCGGCGAGTATCTTTACGGAACGCCCGCTCCAGCACTGAGCTCGGGCGTGGGGTTCGGCTCGTCCGCTTTCCCACCGCAGGGCGTGATGCTCCAGACGGCACCTCCTTACCTTCCCCCGCGGCCGGCCGGCCATTTCCAGCCCGGCGCCTACTCCTCCCCCGTGGCGCCCCCCCCGCCTCACCACCCGGCGGCTGCCCAGCCCAACGGCCTCCCCCCGGAGTGCCCTGGCTACCGCTGCCCGGAAGAGGGCCTCGGTCGCTTTCAGGCTGCGATGATGGAGCAGATCGGCTCGGGAAGTGGAATGAGGGCGTCTTTCCAGGAAATGTACAGACCGTCTGGGTAAGGGGCCTCAGTGCTGTCTCCCGAGAAAAGGGCAGGTGTTTTCAAGTCAGTAACATACCAAAGCTGGTTGGTGGAGTTGCTCTGTGCTGACGTTCTGAAGCCTAATCGTGGGCTCTAGAGCCTCGGCGCCCCTCCCTGAGCCTCAGCCTTCCCCCAGGCCTGCCGCGTTTAGCGCTGGCCGCGTGTGTGTGTACGTCTCTGAGCATGCTCCGTGTCGTGTCTTGGCCTTGTATTCGAAGCCGGTAGAGAGTGGGTTGCAGACAAGCTGGGTCCCGGGGTCAGGTGTGCCGCTCCCCGGAGCGCGGCCAGGGCAGCAGCCTCGGCTGCCCCTGCTGGGAGTCGTCCTGACATGTTCTCACAGCTGCTGCCTCCTGGGTCCCCATCCAGGGTCACGGCTCACACGTGGTTGTGGCATCTGAGTCGTCTCTTAATGTACACTCTTGGTTTTCCTTTCTTTGGCTTCTCAAAGACTCGAGCCAGTTCTCCCGTGAGAGTGCCCCAGGCCCTGGGTTCTTCTCACTTCCTGTCGAGTCAGGCTAACACCTGGGTTGGACGCGGCTGCGCCACACCTGGAGCATATGTGTCTGCCCCAGTCCTGGTGGTTCCCGGTGCGGGGTAATTAAGGCAGCGTCTGCAGGAGGTTGTCGTGATCCAGGACTTCTCCTTCCTAATCAGCATGTGTCCCTCCAGGATGCAGGTGCACCCGGCGCAGCCACGGCCCTCCTTCCCAAAGACGCCGGCAGCCGCGGTGTCGCAGGAGGAGCTGCCCCCACACAAGCCACCCGCACTCCCTCTTGATCAGGTCAGGGTGATCCATGCTGAGGGCGTCTCTGCATCCTCCACGTGCTTGAGTTCGTGGCTGTTGGTGCAGGAGCTTCCACTGGGTGGTGCTTTAGTCTTGGGGCCCGGGCGGGCGGCGCCCTGGGGAGGGGCATCCTCCATCCCCACCTGTCCCCTCCTCCCTTCCTTGTGGTACCAGCTGTGTGGGGCTGGCCGCACCCTCCTTCTCCCAAGCTGGCTGCCGGCGTTTCTTTGGATTTTGGGTTTGAGTCCCTTGTGCTGCGTCTCCTCTCACCCCCTGCCTGCCCTTGGCGTCTTCCTCGCTCCCTGGGAGAGCTGGGGGGCTGGTCCAGGGGCCAGAACACAAGAGCCCAGGCTCGTGTGACCGATGAACTGGTTCTCCCAGACGGAGGGGGTACAGACAGCTCCTTGGTTTCATTCTTAACAGTTAACACGTGTTAATTTTTTTTAATTGCCTCTATTTTGCTTGCCTCAGAGCTAGTCCAAGGAGGAAGTAACCCCCAAGAAAGGAAACTGCACACGACCAGCATGGAGATCCGGGTCACGGCCCCCCACCTCCGCTCCTGTCCCGGAGCCTGGACACGCCCTCCTCGCTGATGCACCAGCTCTTGAGGACCTGGGCCCATCGTGGAGAACAGATGAGCTGGACCCAGGGTGGCGTTTCCAGGCCCTGAGACTCTGGTTCAGGGAAAACCATTAAACTTGGGGGCGGTGCTTGGGGGCTGCCGTGGGCAGCCACTCTCAGGTATACACTGGGGAAGGGACGCTCGTAGTGGTGACATGTGTGGATCTGGGTCCAGTTTACAGAGTTTTCATGTTGCCTTTAAGATGATTTCTGTTGGTGGTGAATGTATTGTACATAAAGCAGGTGGGGCGGGGTGGGGGGGACATGCAGTCTGACCCGCGAGCACACAGCCCTGCAGGACCCTCCTGTTTACAGTCCTGTCACTGGGGAGCTGGATGGGAGGCAGGGAAGGCCGCTGTGTCAGCTGAGTGGGTGGCTGCAGGGCCCACACCTCCCAGGAGCTCAGGCCAGAGACGGCGGCCCTCTCGCCTGCCCAGGGCCTGGTCTGAGAGCAGAGCTCCTCCTGGCTGGCCGGCTGCCCTGCAGGTAGTTGCAAACCAGCATCAGGGACTGGGATCACTGGAGTGCTTGCTTGTTGGAAGGTGCAATGATGCGTCCCCGTCACAGCCCTGCCCGGCCTGTGGTCTGGAAGGCGTCACCGCTTTCTGGCACGAATCACATTTTGTGGAAGTGACTACTCAGGTTTGTATATGTTTAGTATCAATAAAGAAACTGCACAGTTTTTAATAGGAAAAATTATTCTGTAGATTTAGGAATATTTCGGTATATATAGTTCTTACTCATTTTATGTGAATCATAGTAAAATAAGTCATGGTGATTTAAATAGCTGTCAGGAACAGGTCTTGGAAGTCACTTGTCTGTCTGTGATAGGAGACAGTCTCACAGTATTACTTTATTACAGTTTTAGACACGAAATACACTGGATTCTCCCTGCTTAGCATTCTTTGATTTTAGCTGTGATACCACCAAAGTTAGGCCTCATATGTTTAAAACTTACGAATATCCCACAAAGGAAAAAAAGGAACCGAGGAAGGTGCCCTGAAATGACAGGTTTTGTAAAGATGAGCGTGTTCTAAAGCATGCCTGTGGTTAGTAGAAAAGCCTCCATAAACCTTGATCTGTGCTTGCTTCTTGTATGTTCGGCCGTGGGAGGGGCCAGGAGCACCGCACCGTCCAGGCCCAGCGTCCTGGGTGGAGTGGGAGTGGACTGTGCTTTCAGTAGGAGAAGAAACAAGCCAGGCGCGTGCACCTGTCCGGGCAGAGCCCAGGCCCCGGGCCGTGAGGTGAGGCTGAGGCCGGGCTGAAGGCTGGGACGCCACACACACACACGCGTGGCTTGTCCTCGAGTTAGGTGTGCTGTTGAGTGGAGCGCGCTTGGGGCCGTGCTCTCAGCTGCCCCTAGTCTCGTTAGAGCTGTGTCGCTGCCGCGACGTGGTTCAGGAGGCCGGGGCGCCAGCCAGTCCTTGAGCTGCGGGGGTGCTCGTTCTGCTGCCCATGCGTCTGGCTGGCGGGCCCGAGCCCTGCTCCGGGCCCTAGCGCTCGCCTCACTTGCAGCTGGTTTGGGCGCGGGGCTGCGGGCTCCTCGCTGTCTGGAGCCCAGAGGCCTGGGGCAGGGGTGGGAGGGGGCCACAGTGGTTTCGCCCTTTCCTTCCACCCTGGTGGTGTCTGGCCGCAGTGCGCACACCCTGAGGTGGCCTCGCCCCAGGCGCCCCCCTGCCCCCCCCTTTGCCAGAGAGAAGCTGGGAACGGTGTAGGAGTTGGGGAGCCCTCAGCCTCCTCCCTCCCACGTGTGCGCAGAGGTGAGCACAGCGCCTCCCATCACTGAGCCCGGCTGCGTCCACGTGGGGTCTGGGCACCAAGGCCTCGTCCTGTGGCCGCAGGGCCGGGCCCCTGCTGGTCTGTGAAGGGCAGGCTGCGGCCGCTGTCCCCCGCAGGGCCCTTCTTCTCCCGTGTCCCGCGCAGACGCCCAAGCCGCCTTCCCCCAGGGAGTGACGCTGCTGTGGTTTGCTGTGACAAGAAAGTCGTGTGTGGGGAGGGCTGGGAAGTCCCCTCAGCTGGAAGGACCCTCCTGTTGGGACCACTGCCCCTGTCAGGTGTCCAGGAGGGTTACATTCACGGCTCCCCTTTGGTAGAGTGTTGAGTTAGACACCGTTTCCCTAAGACCCAGAAGTAAAAATCCAGAGACAAGCAGAGCCTTTGGGAAGATTTTTGTCCAGGGCTTTTTCCCCCCCAGAGCCTGTCCATTTGAAAAGTAGCTGTTGGCTGAAGTTCATCGAGATAGATACATTTGGAGAATGAATCGAGACATAATATGCAGGTTCCCCTTCGTTTAACTTTTCCCGTCCCTCCTTTGAAAAGTGAAATTAAAGCCGCTGCGTCCATCTCCCCTTGGGGGGGGTGTGCCTGTTGTTGGCAGGACCTCATTTCCCGGGAGCCCCGGTCCACCCTCTCAGAAGGCCGACTTCCTCTCGCGTTTATTGAAAACCTTCAGACCTCAGCCATCCGGCCCCCAGGCCTGGGCTGTGGGCCTGCCGCCTCGTCGCTCCTGTCAGTTCCTCTGGGTCCAGGACACCCAGCCTCAGCCTGGCCCAGCATTTTTCTTGCTTTTTTTAAGTGGAAGTTCTGATCTACATTTACACAATGCGCTCGAGTCCTGATTGGAAAGTCCTCAGAAAACGTAACCCAGCAGCCCCGAGAAGAGGACAGAGCCTGGTCCAGAGAGTCCGGCCTGCTCGGGGGCCGGGATGCTGGGACCACTCTGTCCTTGGGGCCTGGGCCCTCCCTGCTGTGCCCCGAGTGGGGCTGGCCCTGCCTGTCACCCGGCTGCTCCTCCCCGCGGGGCTTTCCAGTCCTGGGCCGGCAGACGGTGAGCAGGCGTCTACCCCCGTCTCCCTGGGGGCTGAAGGAGAGTTGCCTCAAGCCAGCTGATTGTCTGTGTCGTCGCTGAAGAGGGCGGGTGGGTCCAGGAGCGCGTCCGCTGGGCCCCCTGCCGCAGGGGCCCGTGAGCTTCCCTGGCCGGCACTGGGAGGGGGGCTATTTATTTTTATAGCGTGTATGTTTTGTCTGGTCTGCTGTTTCCCTGTTTCACTGAGAGCCACACTTACCTCAGGAGTTAGTTCGATACTGTGTGTTGGATAATTTTTATTTAAAGTAACTTTTAAGAGTCTTTCGTACTCCGTGGAGGTCTCTGCTGGTACCGGACCGAAGGCGGAGTGGTACGGTACGAGCGAGTCGT